CTGACAAAAAGTGACCTCGGTATACTGGAATTTTTGATACATTCATTTTTTAAGTGTGGTTTTATAATTTAGGCATTTTTCCTCAGGCATTATGTTAACATTTCAGAAATACCATGTTCTGGCTTGAAGGTACTGAGTTAAGGTGAAGAATGTTCTTTGGCAATATGATGTTATAATTCCTTTGTTAATACAACAAATGTAAATAATTACCAATACTATTTATCATCTAGTTAGCATCAATGAAAAACAGGCTGCCCAGGGAGGTGGTGGAGTCGCCATCTCTGGAAGTGTTCAAAAAACGTGTGGATGTGGCACTTCAGGACATGGTTTAGGGAACATGGTGGCGCTGGATTAATGGTTGGACTTGATGATCTTGAAGGTCCTTTCCAACCTTAGTGATTCTGTGATTCTGTGATTCTGCGAAATGTAAAGACCATGTCAGGTCACCAGTTACCTCTGCTGAGTATCACCAGTTAGGCTGAAATGTCCCATCCAGATTCAACTATAAAAGAATGCTGTTAGACTTCTTGAAGTCTTATTACTGTAGTATCACCAGGTCCTATGGTATTACTGCTGGATGTTTGTCTTTTTCCCAAGAGGGTTAGCAGGGTAATGGTTTTGGACATTAATTGCAATTTTCTGCTGCTTGTTTGGGTGCAGGAAGAGTGCTAACCTGTATGCAGGAGCCATATAGGGGTATTTGCTGTGAGAACAGCTCCACGTAGCAATGTGTGATCTGCATCGTCTTTCCAGCAGCATGTGATTTATTCAGAATATAGAAATCTGTTGCTTCCTGTGAGGAAGTGCTTACATTTCTGGTTCATGGAAACCTCCCCCCACCAACACTTTTTGGTATTTTTATCCTGCTGCTTCTATATTCTGCTTTTTGTACTTCAGGCGTAGGGATCACCCATAACACTGGTACTCCCAGCAATGAGAAATCTGGAGTCAGCCTTCAGTCATGCCTTGGCTGATTTCAGGGCCACCAAATCACCAGATTTTCCTACAAATAGTAATGTTTCAAAGAGTGATGAACTGCCTATTTTAAGTCCTCCTCAGGAAACGTGGTTTTGGGCTTTGATTACTAAGGTCTCATTGAGATCAGTGGTAACAGTTTTCAGGACTTTGGTAGTATCTCTGATCCATAATTTTTCAACTATGAAACAAATGGAAGGTATAATACAGCATTTTTGCAACATAGCATTGCACCCAGATATGAAACAGCTTGACAGTTTTTTTTTTTAATCTGTTCAGCTCTACTGGTACTTAACATACCGAAATTTATCTAGTTCAGCTTTAGTTTTAATTTCTTTCAGGTCTCTTTACCTCTGAAAAATGCTGGGTGCACTTCTGTGACACTGAAGGCATTAACAACACCTGCAAAATATGTTGTGCTTGGAATAAGGGATACAGAGATGCTAATTCCACTAGGGTTACTGGAAGTCTTGCTGTGAACTACACTGAGATCGGGATTTCATTTGCTGCACTGCTTACCACATATCACGTAACTAATCATTATGTGCTGGGGAAATGTCAGTTCCAAAGTTACTTAAGTATATTTTTTATTTTTAAATAACACTTTTCTTTTGATGATCACTTTTACTTTGATACCGGTTGTTAAAATGACCTCTTCTGGGTAGAAGAATAATACTTCTAATTTCAATGACATTTTGGTAATAGTATAATTTTCTGCCAGTAATTCCATATTTTTGCAAATATGAAATTATGTACTCGAAATTCCTTCTTTCCTTTCTGTGTCTGGAGTCTGTGTGGCTTTCAATTTATGGGCCACGTTGAATATGGAATACAACCATGTACATATATAAACCATGCATATTGAGTTTCTACCTAATCTCATTTACTGTAGCTATGGATTCTCTACCATTCTCAAGAAAAAAAAAAATTGGATATGAAACTTTCAGGCAAGGGCCAGTGAGTTTGAAAGATGTTGTAGCTGGATCAGCAGCACACTCTGTACGTCAGGCACCAACCTTAAAGTAAAAGCAGAATTATAGTCAATTAAAGAGTAATCACTGGGATGCCCAGAAAATGCAGCCCCTTTTCAGTGCCTCTTAAACGATTCATCATTCAGTCCCAGATGCAGTGTGTTTTGACTTATTGACAACTGAAAAAGAAAACAGGGAAATGTCACTTTTTTTGATTTCTATCGGTGTGCTCAGCTTTGATTACCTTGGAAGATAGGCTCTCATTCCAAGACACTTACAGTCTAAGATCAGATTTTGGCACCCTTGCTCTTACTGAATAGCATTAGCCAGGGCTAAGCTGCTGTTCATTCAAGTCAGATAGATCAGAATTAGTCATCACTCGAGACAGTGATATTCATGTAGAGCCGCCAGTGATTCAAACATCTTTGCATAAGGCAGTGATGCAAATGTTTTTCTGCTGGTTTTGTCTGTTTATCTGTAGATCGCTTTTATATGAGTAGCATAAAAAAACCTTTGGTTAAAAAAAATAAAGTGCTTTAAGAAGGAAACTGAATGGATTAAACTTTTTGGCACACAAAGGAGCAGGAGAGGGGTTTTGTACAGAAAGGATAGCATGGGAGAAAGGTCCATTTCCCAAACACGGTCCTAAGAAACAAATCCGAAACCTTGGCAGGTTGTCACTGCGCTGCCGATAGATGAGCAATAATTAGTTTGCCTTCTTAAAACATTGTCTCCTGCCAACCCCAAATCCTCTGCTCCCATTTCCAGCGCAGCGTTCAGCCTGCAGAAGTGGATGATGAGGTACACAGTTGTGGTGTGGAAGGGATTCAAACAATGTGAATGAGATTTTGATCTTCTGGGACTTCTGTGATACAGAGAGTGAAGAGGAGGAAAGACAAACTGTTCTTCGTTTGCAGAAGAGGCTTTCATCTTTTCTGTGCTGTGTGGCTATGGCTGAGGAGAGAGGAGGGGAGTTGTCTTCCTGCTTATATCGAATTGCCAGGCCTTTAATTTTGACCAGATGTACCACACAATTATGGCAGCTGATGGATAGTTATAAACGAATTAGTCTTTGGCAAACAGAACTTTATTTCAAGTAATATCAGCATCACAGAAGATATAGGAAAGCAAATTTTGTGATGGGGTCAGTGCATTTTTTAAATGCTTGGATTTCTTGGCAGAGTAAAAGGACGCATTAGTGCAAAGAGGCAAAGTATCCTAATTTCTAAGCATACCTCTGGAACAGACGCCTTGCTGCTCTTCCCACAGAGCAAGCGGGACACAAAACTGATGAGCAGTCTGAACCTTGCCTCTGTTTGCTGAACTTTCCTTTTTGCTGCAGTTCATACTGGGGTTATAGGTAGCATTCCTGTTGCTGCCACCGCTCTCCCCACACTAATTGTCATGAAGTCCAAGAAGGTTCAAGCACTCTTGGTTCCCAAGGCTGCTAATGAGCCCTGAGCTCTCCTCACCCTTAATGAACCAAGGTTTGTTTGCGGGGGATTCTCGTCCACCCCTCCCTTTCCCTGGTCAGGGGAGGAGGCAGGAGTTCACACAGCCGAACAATGACTTTACAGTGTAAAGACGATGCAGCTGTGCCATCTGAAGCCGTCCTCGCTTATGGGCAACAAAGCTTAAAGAGATTGTACTGTGAAGAGGTACAGCTCTGTGAGTGTGAAGCATAGCTTTTGCTTCCGCTTCGCTGACCCGTCGGCTTGCGGCAGCGGCAGCCCCTGACGGGAGCTTAGGCAGGGAGAGCTGCGCGGGGCGACCCTTTCAAAACCGCTCTCCGTAACGCCGAGCGCGGGAGAGGAAACAAAACGAGGTTTCAGTTGATCTCTGACGGGGGTGTACTGCTGCCTTCTCCAGAAAATCCCATGCCCTCCATTTAAAAGTCATTGATTCCTAATCCACTTCAAATGATTAACGAGGCCGCTACGGCAAGTGGTAGTGTGTAAGTTTTAGCAATAGAGAGTACTCACACAAAAGCGCGCGCGCGCACACAAACCCCTAAGCAAATCACACACCGCACTTAGTTCTTACAGGATCTTACTGTACCATAGGTTAGGATCACCAGAAATTTGGGCTAAACTACTGTTAGTCATTTACTTCATCCGCCTTCCTTTAGGCATTTCTGTTATGACACTGTGTGATCCCCTAGCTATATTTATCTTACTACAAACATGTATGTGATGAATTTTGGGGCATATGTGTACAGGTACGTATGCATGACAGTACAGGTATATATAAACACAGTTGCATATGTTCTTGAAATGCATGGGAAGAGTATATTAGTGTATGATATATATACCATATATATTCTATGTAAAATATGTATATCACATATATAATGTATATAATATGTAAAATACATATACGATATATGTATCATATGTATAAAGTACATAAAAATATCACATGCTTTCCTAGAAACATTATTCCTTGCATATATTCAGGTAGATATACACAGGCAAACACAGACATTTACTCTAAATGCTGTGCTATTGCTATAGTAGCAAGTGAAAACTCCAATCTGAGAAAATAACTCTGTTAATTTTAATAGCAATGAGAGATTTGAGGTTGTGAGTTACGATACTCCAGACTAATCCTTGCACAATGCTATAAAAAAGTGAGGCTTTTAAAAAAAGTTTTACTACTTGATTAGTGAAACCAAAAGCAGCATCTGCAGAAAAAAAAAATCTAATTTTGCTGTAATAGGCTGTTTGAAGGTCATCATTTTGGGTTTTAATAATGCACAGAAACATCTGCTGTTTTCCTTGATCGCATGAGAGAGAAAAGGAAAGATAAAGAAATTAAAAAGGAGCTTTTTTTTTTGCATTCTTAAGTGATCAGGCAGAGGGGGAGAAATAAAAAGCAGCCCAATTTTAAATACCTTGATGTGTGCATGTGCAGGTTCAAAACTTTAGATTGCTCTCCCACCCGGCGTGGTGGGTTGACAGCCCCGGGAGCAGTGGCGAAAGTTGACAACCCCCCACGGCTGACCCCTCATGTTCGCTCTCGCCTAATCGAATTTTACGTGTGTTTCCAGATAGCTGATCAGCTTCCCTGGATTTCGCTGACGCCACAGGAAAGCTTTGCCTGAAGATGGAAACACTGGAGTCGGAACTGACCTGCCCTATCTGTCTGGAGCTGTTTGAAGATCCGCTGCTGCTGCCTTGCGCTCACAGCCTCTGCTTCAACTGCGCGCACCGCATCCTGGTCTCCCACTGCGCCACCAACGAGCCGGTGGAGTCTATCACCGCCTTCCAGTGCCCGACCTGCCGCTATGTCATCACCCTCAGCCAGCGCGGTCTAGACGGGCTCAAGCGCAACGTCACCCTGCAGAACATCATCGACAGGTTTCAGAAAGCCTCGGTCAGCGGGCCCAATTCTCCCAGCGAGACCCGCCGGGAGCGGGCGTTCGATAGCAACAGCATGTCGTCCTGCGAGAAGGTCCTCTGCCAGTTCTGCGACCAGGACCCTGCCCAGGAGGCGGTGAAAACCTGCGTTACCTGTGAGGTGTCCTACTGCGAGGAGTGCCTGAAAGCCACTCACCCCAACAAGAAGCCGTTCACCGGCCACCGGCTCATAGAGCCCATCCCGGACTCTCACATCAGGGGATTAATGTGCTTGGAGCACGAGGACGAGAAAGTTAACATGTACTGCGTGACTGACGACCAGTTAATCTGTGCCTTGTGTAAGCTAGTCGGGCGACACCGTGACCATCAGGTGGCGGCTTTAAGCGAGCGCTACGACAAGCTAAAGGTTAGTGCTACCTGTCGGCCTTTCCGGCCACGCGGCGTGCGGTTGGGAAGGAGAGCGCCCTTCGGTTGCGTGCTGAATTCTTCCTTTGGGCAGGGGTTCGGAAAAGTTAGGTGCGCGGTCTCTAATCGGACGAGATACACGTACGGTTCTATATATGCATTTGCTCATCACCATTGAAAAGGTGTCAGATTTTGCTTAAAGAAAGATTCCTCAGTTATGCTTTGATTTCTCTATAGCTATCAGAAGGAATACGCAGCGTATACTACTGTTTAGGTGAATCTTATCTACCTACAGCTTTATTTAGGGCAGCTGGCAAGGTTTACTGCTCACTGCACAGACACAGGCACTGATTGAAATGTCAGGCATTCTTCGCCTACGCTCTGCTGTTGATTATTTTTCATTTCATTGCTTTCATTGTGAAAAGGCCTTTGCATCATGGCTAACAGGCGATGCATTTATCCGTGCCGGCTTCAGGGATGCC